TTTTACAGAAGGTAGGCTAGGGCTGAAGAGAGATGGTGTCTGTGTACATTTGTGCTTGTGCAAAGAGAGCTAGTGAAAAGACTGGGGTATGGGTTTTGAGGAAAGGTCCCTAAAAATTCAAACTCCATTCACCGTGAATCTATGCATCCATGAAATCCATAAGTTAGGATGAGCAAATCACTGAACTATTACGGGTTTCCAAGGATGTTGTTCTTTGGTAATCTTGAGTGTATATCTTTTAAGATTGGGACAGTGCTCAAGAAAGGCATCTACCACATCCTGACTCACCACACAATAACAATGAATCTCTATCAGATTGGCACATTGCTTTGCCAGGTCTATTAGTGAGGCATTCAAGTCCTCTGAAGGAGTAGTGTGGAGCACCAGTCTTTTCAACGTGGTGCTGTAACTGTTGGTGACAAATCTAACCTGGTTCACCATGTAAGTGAAGGTATTAAGTTGTAAAGTGCCCACAGGTATATTTGGTTTTAGGATTCGTGGTATCTTCCAGGCAGGAACTGTATGGTCAAACTCCAGGTCTACACAGAGGTGAGGATGCTTCTGGATGACAGCAGCCCAAAGCTCTTCAGAAATGACTGGGATGTATTTGTCCAGACGTTCACAGAAAATATCTAAGCCTGTGAAAGACTCTCTCTTTGGCTTGATCAATTCCAGAAAGACATCATCAGACAGGCTGGCATAGTAGACTCCTAAGGTAGACAATTTAGGACACATTCTCAGAACCTCTATAATGGTTTCTGACTTAACGTTGCAAACCAGTGTGCGGTTGTTGATGAACAAACTGTGCAGGTTTGGACTGCTGGCAGCTATGAGTCCAACAAGCCCATCATCAAGGGTGAATGGCATTCTCCGAAAATCAATGTGCTGAAGGTCTATGTGGTTCTCACTCTGACATATATTCCGTATGCTCTGTAGGATGTCTTGACCAGAGTAGAAGTAAGGGTTCTCTCCTTGGCACATAATACACAGCTTCTGCAATTTGTGGTTCTGCATAGCCAACATGTCTAGGATGTGAGTGACGTTCTTCCGGTTAATCTCCTTGGACTGGTCAAATACAATCTTCAGGTGTTTGATTTGGCTTAAGAACTGGTGTAAACTCTGCAGCATGCCCTCCTCATCCTCCGAATCACATCTAGAGGAGCATTATAAAAACAGTTGTTTGCTGGAGCTACTATAAGTGAGCACAAAGCAGGGACTTTACTTTGGAGGATGCTCCATTATTATTAATGCTGCTACTGCTATTAATACGACACTTTTGTGCTATCTTAGAGTTTGGGTCTCTTTTAATGTCTGCAAGAATAGCATGGCATAGTGGATCCCATATTAGCCTGGGTGTCAGAAGTGCAGAGTCCTTTTTCGAGGCCAGCCAGTAGCCTACTGACTGTTACAGGACCAACCACTTCACCCCCTCAAGATTGTTTCCCTTCCAACACATCTATTTAGGTTCTAGCTTGTTGAGACAGATTCTCACTGACTTTGTATGCCAATTAGCTTCTTGTTATCTCACTCACCCCAAGGCACCTCAGCTAGGACTTGAACCCATATTTCCCCCACATGGTAGGTAGGAATGCTGCCACACAGCCACCGTAATCACTGACTTCATATAGCAGCAGCAGAGGTGGGGGAGGTAGCAAGTGGCTGCACGCAGATCTGCTGCTCCGCCCAGCTCCGTGGAGCCCCCCACAAAGTGTGGGGCCTGGAGCAGTTGCCCTGATTCATCCCCCCTAGGGACGGCCCTGATGATTAGCCCAATGGTCCTACAATTCCTCAGGCACTATAACAAATAATAGTAACAAGAGCAGAATGAGTTTTGGAGCCTAGCAGGATGTACAGACCTGAAGGTGTGGGGTGCTAGTGGTCTTCATAAAGCTTATGTTCCATAGCTATTTCAGTCAGATTCATAAAGTAAAAATCAAATCACTACTTCACTATTCCTTAACCTGTGAATCCAGCTTTGGTGGCACCACAATAATTATTCCAGTGACCTGGGAATGCAGATCAAGATTGCTGCAGCTTTTCCTTTGCACTTGAGTGGCTGCATGTACATGTGCCATTAGTGTGAAGAAATAAACTCTGGTGCAGTTTGTGCCAGAGTCAGCAGCTCCTGGGCACAGTGTTTACACGTGTGCCTGGGACTGCAGCACTTTGAGCCAGGGTGGAGCAGCCCTGAGCTGGCAGAAAGCCAGAAGGGGTCAGCCCTGGGCTCCGAATGACAGTGTAGGGCAGCAGAGGAGCTGGCTGGGGCACAAGGGTGCTACAGTACAGGGCTAGGCAGCAAGCAGCCCCTGTACATTAGCACTCTTGTGCCCCAGCCAGCCCCTGTCACCACTGACCCATGTCTTTCTGCACATGTAATGACTTCATGGTAGG